GCAAGCCAAAACATCACAGAACGTCCTGAGCCTCCATTCGTAAGCTGCTGCAAAAGCTTGATTCTCAACTGCACCTATAGGCTCGAAATCATTAGGCACCACACTTCACCCATTTTAGTCCATTAGGACCGTTGCTGAGAGCCACCCGCTCTGACTTGGCCCCGCATATAATCAACTCCATGAGTCTTCCATCACATGAATACCCCCTTGGTGAAGAACCCGCCGAATCACTTCCCTTGGAACCCACATCTATACAAAGCAAAATCCTGAATCCTTCCCCAAGCCTGAACATGGGCCAATAAGGCCAATGATAGCCCACCTTCAATAATTCCTTTGCCCAGATTACCACTTATGGTTTTTTTTCCCGTAGCTGAAATGGCCCATCCATATGCTAATAACCAGAAACCTCGCAAGTAGTTAACTCTGCAACCCCATCATAAGCGGTGGGACTCTCCCACTTAGCTCGAAGCCACTATCACACAACTCTGGAATTTACCAGGATTCTTAATCTCCTATTGACATAACCTTGCGCAATCAACCGCCAAAATTCTCGATATCTTACTGTAGAAACCCCCTTTTTATACTCTGAATCATCAACAACATTCGCACGACCGATCCCTTTGCTGTATAACCCATAGAATTCTTCGCAGAAGCCTCGCCAACCACGCGACCGCTAAAGTGCTCACAGGAATAACCCACCTGTAAAAGACTCTCCCCGGCATCTTCCAACACTGCTGCACAGGGTACAATCACTACGACATCAATGACCCATCCTGAGTCTCAGCTCACTCTCCAGCTGCACAGGTCTATTTACCCCTCGTGGACATCATTTAAATGTGCGACAACATCCTTCTAATTCAAAGTCATGCTACATCCTTCTTCATTTAAGCGGATCCTTTCCATTATCCGGCCGCACAAGAACCCCTACTTCAAATTAGATCTGTAGACCCCAATAGCCAAGCACCAATATTCCCAAATCGCTCCGAACTCTCCTTAAGGCGCATAGTCGTCTTATCACCAAGCCCCTACGCAGCTCCGCCACTCTCCCACTTAGGTCAAACTCACCTCTTCAATCAACTACTCGGCCTGCGCTTCCTAAACCTAGCCTTTTAGAAGTTTAAGACTCCGCCCGAAACTTCCCACGCGTCTTTCTTGTCTTTTGCTACTCAGTTGTTGCCTTAATAAAATTTATCTTCATAGAACTTGAATCCACAATTCGCTACTGACTTAAACCTTTCCGAAGGTCATCTTTATTGGACCGTCGACATTAGAAATACTGATTCACTCCTGAACCACCGAACCCTGCGATATCTAACAGTTGTACCTCCAATATTATTTCACAGTATCTTGCCCCAAAGGCGAATTGTAGCAGATCATAACACCGACAAACTTAGCACGTTCAATTAGGACAACGACATCCCATCACAGAAGAAAGCTCTACAACGCTTGCAAATACCAAGTCTCATTACTTCCACCAGCCCACATCTGACCATCCTTAGTTCGATTGTCTTTCCCCTCCCGAGAATAAAATACTGAATCTCTTGGTTATGCACTGAGTAAACCTCCCTTCAAGTCGTTCACTGCCCCGACACGTGGGCAAACATCTCACCATCATATCACTACTGCGGAACAGTCATTCATAGGCATCATGGCAACTTGTGCCTAGCCCCAAGCCCTCAGAAGTACCGTTACTGAGCTGAAACATTAAAATATCATTCCATAAGGCGACGATAATAATCAAATCAACTACACCGGGAGAAACATCCCGCACCACATCCGTAGTACCGTTATGATTCTTCAATTCTCGATTTATAACAAGCGCTTTGCGTCGTGTAAGTTTGAGTAAGAATGAATTAAAAGCATACGCCTCCAGTGATCAAATCGCACGATAAGGAATCTAGAAGGGAAGTACTCCTAACAGTCCTGCAGCCTCCCGAGGATAAGTACAGACGTCTCCGTATCAATCCGCGAGACTCCACTAGACTTGCTCATGACTCGTGAGACCCTAGGAACCTAGTGCTCTGATACCATGTTGTCACAACCCAAAATCCACTAAGGGTCGTGATGGCGCCGGACACCGCTGTCAGGCAAGCCAACCCAATACTTAATTAAACTCCATCTTTAACAATTTTTTGAAAACCAAGATTTTCCTTCAAATTTCATAAGTAAAAAGATAACTGTTTCAATTTAAATTAAATACTAGCAATCAATACAAAATATTTAAAAACCATCCCAGAACCCGGTGTCACAAGTGCATGAGCATCTACTAATAAGAAAATAAAATACAACATCCGTCCGGAATACAGTGGACAAGAAATAAGTACAACATACTGAGAAGGACTATACTAGCTGCGGGCCGCCTCGAATAATGCAACTCACCTAGTCCCCAAATCATCCGGCTGCTACGCCCAGTAGGCCGCTAGAGTTACATATACCTGTGCAACAAAAATGCACAGAAGTGTAGTATGAGTATGTAATCAACGTGTACTCAATGAGTATCCCGCCTAATCTCGAGGAAGTAGAGACGAGATGGTCGACTTCAATGCTTGCTAGAGGTCCAATAATAATATACCAAAAGTGTGAGGAAATCGTAGATTTGTATAGCAGTTCTAACTCACAAAGCGGGGAGACAGGTAAACACCTTTAACAAATAATAAAGGATTTTCAAGGTTTACTTTTCATTATCTTATCAATTTATATCAAGCCATGAAAGGCAATATCAACATTTAAATTCTCGGGAAACAATATATATATCATGCGCAAATCATGCCGAGGTCGACGGCCCGCTCCAACAGAAATGTAAACTGTGCACTGCCGAGGGTCGAACGGCACGAACCATAGATGCATCTATTTAATCTGCCGAGGCGTTCGGCCCGCTCCATAAATAAACACATACCCTGCTCGCGAATAATGCATGCGACGCAGGTACACATAGGGATACATGCTCAATCAGTCAATTAAGAGCTTATAGGGGGAATATTTATCCAAATAAAACGAATTCTCCTTTAACAAATTTTAAGAAATAAGGTTTAATCCTTTTAGAATTTCACTTACTAATTCAATGTGATTTAAGCAATTCAAGCTAGCAATGGGTTCATAAACAATCCAAGTATAACATGCTTTTGGGTCCTAACTACCTGGGTAATAGCATAATAGTAGCTACGCACGGACTCTCGTCACCCCGTGCGTACGTAGCGCCCGCAATTAGGAGCTCATAATTAGTTATTTCACCTATGGGGACAATTCCCTCTTACAAGGTTAGAAAGGAGACTCACCTCGCTCCGAAGATCCATAACCGGCAATCCACGCCCTTCCGGGGACTCCAATTGATGCACCATGCTCCAAAACTAGCCAACAGTTATGCAAATCCATTAATATATGCTCAAATATTCATTATAAACTAATTTATAGCAATTCCTAATTCTGATCGAAAAGTTGACCAAAACGCCCTCGGGCCCACGTGCCCGAAATCCGAAATTTTTCGAAGATAAAGATTACCCATGACCTTAGGAACTCAAATATATAATCTTCTCTCAATTCCATACTCAAAATCGGGGCTAAATTCCATGATTACTAGTTTTCTAGGTTTTCCACCAAAACCTCAAATTTATACAATTTTCCAAGCCTAAATCCATATATAAACCTTGTATTTAACTCCAAGCTAGCATAAATTACTTACCTCATGATAAGTGACGAAAATGGCACCCCAAAACTGCTCCCCATCGACTCCAATGGAAGAAAAATGGGGTTGAAATGAACTCAACCCCGAACTTAAAAGACCTCACTGCTTCAGCTATTTCTGCACCTGCGGTTCCTTGGCCACTTCTGCGGTTCCGCAGGTGCGGATAAAATACCGCATCTGCGGTCTTCCATGATCCACCCCTTTCTCGCTTCTACGACTTGCCACCCGCAGATGCGGTCCCGCTTCTGCGGAACTTTGACCGCATCTGTGGTCCTCTCCAAGATACTCCCATCCGCTTTTGCGACCCTTTCTCCGCAGATGCGATCCCGCTTCTGTGGTACTTTGACTGCATCTGCGGTCCTCAAGCCTTAGACCAAAACCCGCTTCTGCGGCTCCCTGTCCGCTTCTGCGGTCAACCCACCGCAGAAGCGAAAATACCAGCAACCAGATTCCTTCAGCTGTCCAAAAATCCAAATTTCGATCCGTTAACCGCCCGGAATCCATCCGAGGCCCCCGGGACCCCAACCAATCATACCAACCAGTCCCAAAACACATTACGGACTTGCTCGAGGCCTCGAATCACATCAAACAACACGAAAATCATGAATCGACCTCCAATCCAAACTTAATGAACTTCAAAAATTCACACTTCTATTTCCGATGTTTAAACCTATCAAATCACGTCCGATTGACCTCAAATTTTGCGTACAAGTCATATTTGACATTACGGACCTACTGAAACTTCCGGAATCGGATTCCGACCCCGATATCAAAAAGTCCACTTCCGGTCAAACTTCTTAAAAACCTTCAAATTTCTATCTTTAGCCAAATGGCTCCAAAATGACCTACAGACCTCCAAATTCACTTCCGATTGTGCTCCCAACTCCAGAATCACCATACGGAGCTATTCTCAGACTCAGAATCCCAAACGGACGTCGATAACACTGGAATGCTCTTCAAGCCAAACTTAAGAAATTCCTTCAAAAATGCTAACTTCCACAATAGGCGCCAAAACGCTCCCAGGTTATCCAAAACCCGCACCTGGCATACGCCTAAGTCCGAAATCATCATACGAACCTGCTGGAACCTTCAGATCCCGATTCCGAGGTCGTTTACTCAAGAATCCCATCCTAGTTCATTCTTTCAACTTTAAGCTTCCGAAATGAGAGTTCTCTTTCCAAATCAACTCTGGACTTCCCGAAATTCAATTCCGACCATGCGCACAAGTCGTAATACTCAAAATGAAGCTGCTCATGGCCTCAGGCTGCTGAACGGAGTGCTAGAACTCAAAACGACCGGTCGGGTCGTTACACAACATTCACCCGCAAGTTGGAGGGGATGAAGTGACACCCAACTTGTCGATGATAGATCTGTGAGCAGAGCCCGACAAGGGTTTGGTACAGACGTCGGCGAGCTGGTTATGTGACAGAATATAAGAGAGAGAGATGATTCCGGCTAGAAACTGTTGCCGGACAAAGTGACAGTCCAGCTCCACGTGCTTTGTACGCTCATGGAAAACTGGATTTTTGGTGATATGGATGGCTGCCTGACTATTAGAGTGCAGAGGTACCGACAAAGATGGAGGAACAGAGAAATCTTCAAGTAAGCGAACCAACCAGGTAACCTTTGCAACTACTCGTCGCATTGATCTGTACTCCGCCTCAGCTGAGGATAAGGAAACTAAAGGCTGTTTCTTTGATTTCCAGGATACCGGCGAACCTCCAAGACTGATGTAGAATCCACTAACTGATCGATGAGTGTCAGGACATCTTCCCCAATCGGAGTCACAAAAGGCGACAAGATGAAGCGAGGGATCAGGGTTCATGAGCAATCCCATTCCTGGGTCAGAGAGAAGGTACCGCAAACAATGAAAAGCTGTATCCAAATGGGGTTGACGAGGCGACTGCATATATTGACTCAGATGCTGAACCGCGAAAGACAAATCAGGTCAAGTGTGAGTTAGAAAGTTCAATTTTCCCAAAAGTCTACGGTAAATGGTTGGATCCGGAATCAAGGCACCTTGTTCAGCTCGAAGATGTAGACTGGGATCAATTGGTGAGGATGCAGGCTTAAGATTGCTCACTTCAAACTCTGTTAACAAATCTAAGGTAAATTTCTTTTGAGTCAAAATTAAACCAGATGGTTCCCGAATAATTTCCATACCTAGAAAGTAGTGAGCATGACCTAGGTCCTTAATTTTGAACTCAGAATCAAGAAACTCCTTTAATTGAAACTGCTCTAAGTGATCATCCCCTGTTACTAAAATATCGTCGACATAAACAGCAACTATAGTGATCCTTCCTTTAGATATTTTGAAAAATAAAGAGTAGTCATTTAGAGAATGTGAATAGCCTTTGAAATTTAAAGCTACTGTGAGCCTGGAATACATTGCCGTGAAGCTTGTCGTAGACCATATAAAGATTTCCTCAAAAGACAAGAATGATTAGGGGATGGAGGGTTCAACCCTACTGGAAATTTCATGAATACCTCTTCTTGCAAATCTCCATGCAAGAAGGCGTTTTTTACATCCAGTTGAAACAATTCCCAGTTCTTTTTTACTGCTATGGCAAGAAGACACCTTATAGTAGTCACTTTTACCACCGGTGAAAATGTCTCGGTGAAATCTATACCTTCTCTTTGAGTGTCCCCTCATATGACCAACCTTGCCTTGTATCTCTCCAAAGTACCATCAGACCTATACTTAACTTTGTATACCCATTTGCAAGGCAAAGCCTTCTTCCCAACAGGTAGAGAAACCACTTCCCAGGTTTTGTTAGCCTCTAAGGCTTCAAGTTCTTTGGCCATAGCCTCTTGCCACCCTGGGTGAAGTGCTGCTTGGTAATAGGATGTAGGTTCTGTGATATAGGTAATGGATTTGAGTAAGGATTGGTTGGTAGCTGACAAAGCAGAAAAAGGTAACACAGTAGGTTGGGTAGGAGCAGAAAAGCATGAGGAAGTGAGATCAGTTAAAAAGACTGAATTGCAAACATAGTCTTTGAGATACTCAGGAGTTCTGTGAGGTCTGGATGATCTTCTGAGTTCAGGTGCTGATATATTATTTGGTGAAGAGGGAATTCTTATTGGGGAAGGATGAGAGGGTGCAACAGGAGTTGATATATGAGAAGGTGATGGAGAGATATGAGTAGGGTCCCTTGAAGTAAGAACTTGAGGTACTGAGTTGGTAGATTCTTTAATCAGGTTATCTGTGAAATGTGAAGTCTGAAAGGGAAAGAGAGACCGACATTGCTGTGTAGAGGAAAAGGGAAAAACTGATTCATGGAATTTAACATCCCTAAAAACAAAGACCTTCATACTTTCTAGATTCAAGAGTTTGTATCCTTTCTTCCCTTGAGGATAACCCAAAAATACACATGGTACAGACCTTGGATCAAGTTTGGATCTGTGAGGGGATAGAGCACAAGCATAGGCTAGACATCCAAAACTTTTTAGAGTATGATATGAGGGTGGAGTTCCATATAAGACTTCATAGGGAGTTTTGAGCTTGAGAACCTTGGAGGGAAATCTATTAATCAGATAGGTGGCAGTTAGAAGACATTCTCCCTAAAAGGGAATAGGAAGTTTGGACTGATATAAGAGTGCTCGACAGGTTTCTAAAAGGTGTCTGTGTTTTCTCTCCACTATTCCATTCTGTTGTGGGGTATAAACACAAGTAGTGTCACGTCCCGGATTTTTCCCACCATCGGGTGTCGTGATGGCGCCTACTAACGGAGCTAGGCCAGCCATACATTAAACATTCGCTATCCAACCTCAACAATATAATATACTAACAACAGTTAAAGAAATGCGGAAGACTTTAAGTTTAACAAAAAGATATAAAAATGCGGAAGTTTGAAACACATCCCTACCCAAAATCTGGTGTCACTAGCTCACGGACTACTATAGAATACTACAACAAGTCTGAATGAAGGAAATACACATGTCTGTTTCGGTACAATGAAAACAAACTGAAATAAGGAAAGGGACTTCGGCCTGCGAACGCCAGCTAGGCTACCTCGAGAGTCCCTGGACTGAAGATAGCTCCCGGATAAGAATCCTACTGCTGCTGTCCAAAAGCTGCTCCTGGATCTGTGCACAAAGAAATGCACAGAGTGTAGTATCAGCACAACCGACCCCATGTGCTGGTAAGTGTCTGGCCTAACCCCGGCGAAGTAGTGACGAGGCTAGACAGGACTACCAAACCAACCTGTACAATTTTTATATACAAATATGCAACAAAAGGAAAGAAAATACCGAAACTAAACAGTTAAAAGGGAGGGAAACATGCTATGGGGAGAGTACAAATTGGATATAAAGTTCATCAGCATAATTAAGAAACATGGCACAACAATAATTATCAAAGAATAAGAAATTCAATAGTTGCACGGCATCACCCTTCATGCTTTTACTCTCAATCTCACCCAAAGCAATCAAATAAAATGCACGGCATCACCCTTCGTGCTTTCCCTCACATAGCTCTCATCTCATGGCACGGAATGACCCTTCGTGCAAATATAATCAATTCAGAGCACGGAATGTACCTTCGTGCATAAATAGTCAAAACATAGCACGGAATGACCCTTCGTGCAAATATAATCAAGAATAGCACGGAATGACCCTTCGTGCAATTTCACTCTTCCTCACCCAAATAACAGTCACAACCAAACGGGCAAGAGGAATAAACAAGTAATATGAACTATCCCGGCAAGGGAATAACACAAATAACAACCAAGTCCCGGCAAGGGAACAATAACAATATCTTTCACAACCCGGCAAGGGCAATACTCACTGTAATCAAACCATCCCGGCAAGGGATTAATCACAACTCTTTTCAATACGTTCATCTCTTACTCAATGGTATTTATCACTCGAGCCAATGCTCCAAAATATTAATATTTCACAACTTATCCTCAAACTCTTCACATTTGCAGAAAAACATGTTGTAGCTTGGAAGAGTTCCAAATTACCTCAAAAACAAGTACAAACAAAGACCCACGGTCATGCTAGACTCCGGTGTATAGACACTCGTCACCACGCCTATACACCGTACTCGATCAATTAGCAAATAGCATTTATGATACTCTAATACTATTCCCTCAAGCCAAAGTTAGATCAAACACTTACCTCGGTCCGAAAATAGCAATCAAGCCTCTAACACCGCCTTTCCTCTAGAATTCGACTCCGAAACAATGATATCTAATCATAATTAATTCAATAATATCAAATGAGGCTCAACAACATAATCCCATAGCCTAGAAATGAATTTCCTACCATTTTTTCAAAAATAGCAAAATCCGACACCGGGCCCACATGGTCCAAACTCGAGGCTCGGACCAAATTCCAATCACCCATAACCCCACGAGTTCAAATATATAATTTGTTTCAAGATCCGACCCCAAATTGAGGTTGAATCGCCCTAAATTTTCAAAAACCTAACTCTACCCAAAAGCCCTAATTTCTACCTTGATTTCATGTTCTTAGGCCTAGAACTTAGTGATTAGATGATAAAATAATGAGGAAACGATNTGAAAGTATTAGGAGATAATGAAGTTAAGAATACTTACCCAAAAAGATATGGAGGAAGAGGAGCTTGAAAATCGTCTATGGAGTGTGAAAGAGAAGAGCCCGTGTGAAAAAGTGAGAAAAATCCCATAATGAAGGTTCTGTTTTTTATCGAAAATCGCTGGACGAAATTGTTCTATGCGATCGCGGAGCAAGGGATGCGATCGCATAGAGTAAGAGAAGACTGGTCACTGCGATCGCATGGGAGGACCTGCGATCGCATAGAGGAAAAAAAAAATAGGGCTGCTCAGATTAAAGCTATGCGATCGCGGGGGTAAGGGCTGCGATCGCATTGAAGGACTGGACAAAGCTACGGATCGCGTTGGGATTATTGCGATCGCATAGAACAAACGGGGCAACTTGAAATTTACTCCTCGCGGAGGCTCCTATGCGATCGCATAGAGCAATGTACCAGATACCAGCAAACAGCAAAATACCAGATTTTTCTAAGTGCAAAACCACCCCGAACCACCTCCAAATCACTCCCGAGCCCTCGGGGCTCCCAACAAAACACACACGCTAACTCAATAACATCCTACGAACTTACTCGAGCGATCAAATCCCGAAAATAACATCAAAATCAATGAATCAAACCTCAAAACTCATGATTTTCATTTCAAAGTTCATAAACTTCCAACTTTAGCTATTTAGGTCCGAAACACGTCAAACGACGTCCGATTTCGACCAAATTTCACAGAAAGCGTTTAACGCATATTTAAGACCTGTACCGGGCGTCGGAACCAAAATACGAGCCCGATACCTATATTTTCTAACTCATTTTCATTTCCATTTTTCCTTATTAATTTCAGAAAACAATTTATCATAAAAATTCTTTTACCGGGGTTCTGGACCTCGGATTTCGACTCCGGGCACATGCCCGAGTCCCATATTTTTCTACGGACCTCCCGGGACCGTCACATCACGGGTCCGGGTCCGTTTACCCAAAATGTTGGCCAAAGTCAACTATATCAATATTAATATCATATTTCACCAAATTTTTCACAGAATTCATATATTTTAACATAAAAATTTTCCGGCTTCGCGCCCGGAGTGCGCGCGCAAATCGAGGCAACCAAAAGTGAGGTTTCCAAGGCCTCGGAAGCGCAAAAAAAGGGAGAACCACGGTGATGACCCTTTGGGTTGTCACATTCTCCACCTCTAAAACAATCGTTCGTCCTCGAACGGACAAAGAAAGAAGTACCTGAGTCAGGAAATAGATGAGGGTAACGGCTCCGCATATCAGACTCGGACTCCCAAGTCGATGCCTCAGGAGGATGACCTCTCCACTGAACACGCACTGAAGGAAAACTCTTCGACCTCAACTGCCGAACCTGCCGGTCTAAAATAGCTACCGGCTCCTCCTCGTAGGACGGATCCTTGTCCAACTGGACAGTGCTGAAATCTAACACGTGGGCTGGATCGCCGTGATACCTCCAAAGCATGGACACATGGAACACTGGATGCACGGCTGACAAGCTGGGCGGCAAGGCAATTCTGTAAGCCACCTCTCCCACACGATCGAGAATCTCAAATGGGCCAATGAACCTAGGGCTAAGCCTTCCCTTCTTCCCAAATCTCATCACGCCCTTCATAGGCGACACTCGGAGCAAGACCCGCTCACCAACCATGAAAGCTACATCTCGAACCTTACGATCCGCATAACTCTTTTGCCGCGACTGAGCCGAACGAAGCCTGTCCTGAATGATCTTGACCTTATCCAAGGCCTCCTGAACTAAATCTGTACCCAATAATCGAGCCTCTCCCGGCTCAAACCATCCGACTGGAGACCGACATCGCCTACCATACAACGCCTCATATGGAGCCATCTGAATGCTGGACTGGTAGCTGTTGTTGTAGGCGAACTCTGCTAAAGGTAAAAACTGGTCCCACGAGCCTCCAAAATCAATGACACAGGCTCGGAGCATATCCTCCAATATCTGAATAGTCCTCTCGGACTGGCCGTCTGTCTGAGGATGGAACGCTGTGCTCAACTGAACCTGGGTGCCCAACTCCTGCGGAACTGCTCTCCAAAAGCGCGAGGTAAACTGCGTACCCCGATCCGAAATCGATAGATACCGGCACCCCATGAAGGCGAACAATCTCTCGGATGTAGATCTCAGCTAACCTCTCTGATGAATAGGTGGCTGCAACAGGAATAAAATGTGCTGACTTGGTCAGCCTATCAACAATGACCCAAATAGCATCAAACTTCTTCCGGGTCATCGGAAGTCCAGTCACGAAATCCATGGTAATCCTCTCCCACTTCCACTCGGGAAGCTCAATCCTCTGAAACAAACCACCAGGCCTCTGATGCTCATACTTAACCTGCTGACAGTTCAAACATCGAGCCACATATGCAACAATATCTTTCTTCATCCTACGCCACCAATAATGCTGCCGCAAGTCCTGATACATCTTCGCGGCGCCCGGGTGAATAGAATACCGAGAACTATGGGCCTCCGCTAAGATCAACTCTCGAATCCCATCGACATTGGGCACACAAACTCGCCCCTGCAACCTCAAAACACCATCATCATCTAAGGTCACCTTCGTGGCACCTCCGCGCTGCACCGTGTCTCTCAGGACACACAAATGGGGATCATCAAACTGCCGATCACGGATACGCTCCAATAATGAAGAACGAGCGATTGTACAAGCTAACACTCTGCTAGGCTCAGAAATGTCCAACCTCACAAATCGATTGGCCAGGGCCTGGATATCCAAAGCAAGCGGTCTCTGGCTGACCGGAACATAAGCAAGACTACCCATGCCGGCGGACTTCCTACTCAATGCATCAGCCACTACATTGGCTCTCCCCGGGTGGTACAAGATAGTAACATCATAATCCTTCAACAGCTCCAACCACCTCCTCTGCCTCAAGTTCAACTCCTTCTGCTTGAACAAGTATTGCAGACTCTTGTGATCCGTGTACACCTCACTCGTCACACCACTATAGGTAATGCCTCCAAATCTTCAGAGCATGAACAATGGCTGCCAACTCCGAGATCATGAACCGGGTAATTCTTCTCGTGGATCTTCAACTTCCTGAAGCATAAGTAATGACTCTGCCATCCTGCATAAATACCCGCACCAAGCCCAAATCGGGAAAGCATCACAATACACTGTAATGGGTCCTGAGCCTGTGGGC